AGTCTAAAGGTGGGGGGGGGGGGGGGGGGGGGGAAGCTTGTAAGAGTAGTTTTCATCTGGAAATGTGAAAATAGCAAGAATGAAAAAAAACCTTGAGAGGCTAAGTCACAAAGATAGGAAAGTTTGGGACCAAAATGACCGTATTGCACATAACAAAAGAGTAAATGTGATTTTCAGGTGAGAGAAGACAGAGAAAGGAAGGACAGAAAGAAGAAACAGACACAGAAGAAGAATGACCTAACATCTCATATTGGGGGGGGGGGGGAGGGGAAAGGTGCTCACTTAGATTTATAATGTTTCCAACATAACCAAAAGTAGTAATTCCAATGAAAACCCACGAATCCATCTGTTTCATCAGAGGTACTGAAAATGCAAGAGAATTTAGTTTAAACCAGAAAACCAACTTAATTTGTTGCTTCACGTTGAGTCATAAGAGAGAAGAGCTTGAAGTGGCTTCCAAATACAAGGCTCTTGTGTACAAGTGGGGCAGAAAAAGCTGCTGGCTCTGCTTATATCTGGACATGCCACTGCTGCTGCCACTTGAATACAGGTAGTGTCAGAGCTGATACACTAATGTGAGTCTATACACTTACTGCACCTGTAACTGAAGATGCTGAAGCAGTTCTAAGACAGGGAAAAAAATGGAGTACTAATCTGAAACCATATTAAAGTTTGCAGTAGAAAGTCATAGTAGATTGTGGCAGCTCAGAGTAGGGTGTAAGATACATGTGGGAGAGGTGTGAGTACGCACAAATCCAGAGTTAAACAAGACTTGAAGGAATTAAAAAAAAAACCAAAACAAACACAAAACTCATCCTGCACCACTTAATAATTTTTCAAGTATTTACAAATACCTAGCACTATCACGTAACAGGATGTCAAAGCAGCAAGGCTGCACTTATCAGTTATAACCTTTCCATGAATCATGCCCAGTGAAGTTATCTATGTTCCAACAGCAAGTGAAATAGTAATGGGCTTGTAAAGTTTACAGTGAACAGGATATAAGGAAAAATAACCTAAGCACTTTGTCTTGCAAGTTTAATTCTACACTGTGTACAAACACACACACTTCACAATAAGAATACTCACTCTCTACACTAGCTGTGAGTATATATGGTTCCCTGAAATTAACACAATAGAAACCCATCAAGTTAACCCATCCCTAGTAACAGAATACATTTTATCGTTTGCTCCAAGCAGCTAAAATACCTCTAGAGTTTGGAAGAGCCAAGAGCAGTGGGGGTTGAAACCTAACAAAGGTTCAAGATACCTACAACTTTTGAGAATGAGGTTTTGGAACTTATTTTTAATATTTTATTTCAAAGGTAACAGCCTGACCATCATCAAGAAAACACTGGGGACACATCATGTTTTCCACAATGACTTTAAGGAATTATCATAAGGATATAAGTAATTTCTGCTTGCGTTCATACATTAGAATTTAGGAAGCTGTAACCGAACACAATAGCAATCCTGTTTCACAAAGAAATCCCCCACAACTTTAAAAAATAGAAGAATAGATCGATATGCAGATGTTGGGAGGCAAGATTAAAGTTGCGGTCTATCACTTACTGTGGGGGCCCATCAGCTACTCTGCTGACTAGGAGAACAGCACACAAAGAGCCCTTCAGTCCAACCTTAATGTTTGGACTACGCTAGAGCCTGAATTTTGGCAGCCTATACATGTTTCCATTATTTCAGCCTGCTATACAGGCTCTGACATCAAAGCAACCATGTAAAATTTGGAAAGTTCTCTCAGCAAGCTAGAAGAGAAAAAAACCCCGAAGTAATAGCTTTCAGGAATCAATTTTTACTGATCACAGTGGCCTGCGATTAGACTGCATCACCTCCGAGCTCCCTTCCAGCTTTAATACTCTTCTTCTTAACATCCACTCCTAGCAACATTTGGTATCAACAAACGATGGTGTTAATTACTTGGGAAATAGAAGAGTTCCCAGACTTACTGGATACTAAACAAACTGGTTCTCATCCACTTACTGTATTTAACAGTAACGGTAGCTGAAGAAAAACAACCAGCAACCACGAAAATAAGCATACTTAGCTGTTTATGAAAAAAAAACAAACCAAAAACACAAAACCATCATTAGATAGATAGACTGTTGGCAGATGATTTTATGTTTTCAAGGCTAAACCTTTCAAAAGGCTTAAAAAAAAAATCATATTACTTACTCCCCATTTCATGGGGGCTGACATTCTTTTAGATGGTCAGTATTAAATCAGCAAATTTCTCAGAAAATTTAGGAGGGTCTGCAGCAGAATGGATATCCAGAATTGATGCCTACTGCTTCTCTCCCTTTGGAGAGCAAACTAGCATAATTGCAAAAAGCTTACTTCATTAAGAAAAAAAAAACCAAACAGGTGGAGGGGGAAGGGAGAGGTACGAACCAAAGTTCAGCGTTTGAACTAGTGCCACTGGTGCCGTAACTGGTGCCCACCTGGTCTAACTCCCCAGGGGCAGGGTGCAGGCAGTCGCCTTTCGATGACTTTAGGGACGCCACGGCGATGCCCCGTGCGGCTCCGAGCACGTGTAAGCTACAGCAGTGACATAAGACCGACGA